AGAAAAATGAAAACAATTTTATTTCTTCTTTTTTCCTCCTCAGTTTACTGAAAGAAATGATCAAGAAGAAATGAAACCCAGGAAATAGCTGATCCAACCTAGAAGTATAAGGATAACAAGTCCCAAGATAAGAACTATGCAGCACGCCCAAGGGCAATCAGTAAAGACTAGAACAAGTCTGAAGGGCTTAGGGAAAGAATCTCTGAGTGAATGTGAATTTTAAGCCATAGATGATGAAAGGACTTGAAGGTAATGAAAGCACATTATTCTTTCATCAACAAGAGGGTAAAAACAATTTGAAAGTYAAGAAAARGCAAAAACTAAACAAAAAGTCATGATATGGCAAATCAAAAGGTTTTCAACAACTGATAGAATGAGAATTCACTTTGATTTTAATCAGAACTTACTTWTTTTTAGTTTGGCATAAGGATTGGCAGTAACAAGGGACTCAGAAAGAAAATGTTACTTGTTTTCACTGTCCACATAGAACCACACAGAAAACATAATTGTGATAGAACAGAATATTGGTGCAATTAAACTTATTAACATAAAAATGAAAGGTATAGCTGACTTAAGGTCRGGAAAGAAAACAGGAAAGGTAGAGGAAGGGGAGAGGAAGAGTGAAATAGTGAAAAGCAAGGAGATGCCACCTAAAATTAATGAAGAAGAAATGGAAAGTACAGAAAAATTAAAAATAAATAGCTATCCAAATTAAAAAAGGGAGATAGGTGTTAAAGTGAGTTACACCATTTCTTCTGTAATTGAGGGTCTCTAATTTTTGTGTTGTCTCAAGAAAAGAGAAAGGAGATAACTAATAGATAAACACAAATCAAATTTGGATAAAATTATTGCCTATGGAGACAGGCCTAGAGGTGGGGGAGGAGACATATGTATTTTAACCATATGAAAATATTAATTAGAAAATACTTTAAAATAAAATAAAGTATGAATGAGAGAGAAAATGAAAATGTGTGTGTGTACGCACACTCTTTCAAGAAGGACAGCTATTAAAAAAAAAAAAAAGTAAAAAAAAGTTACTAGCCAGAAGACAACATTTATGACAGAAAATCCCAGAGTTGTAGAGCAGCCTCTAGCCATATGACTCTTCAAATTCAAATTTAAATTAATTAAAATTACATAAAATTTGAAATTCACTTCTTAGTCACACTAGCCATATCAGGCACTCAACAGTGTCATGATATAYTGACCACCAAAATGGATGGAGTAGATAAAAAACATTTTTATCATCACAGAAATTCCTACAGGACAACTTTATTATAAAGAATAACTAAATGCCAATGAGGCCTTATCTACCTTCATCTGAATGCAAAGTTTAACTGAACAACCCTTTTTTTTTGAACAACTCTTTACATGTGAGTATTCCAAGCACATTGCTTGAAAAATATAATACAACGTTACCAATTCAGAATTCATATACAAAACATCTTTCTCTGCACATTGTAAAAGTAATTACTTGCTCTATAAGCAATTACATTACTTGCTTTAATGAGCACTTAGGGTATTTGCAATCAAAAGTAAAAATATTTATTGTAATCGTTTCTTTAAAAGAATTTTAAGCTAGTTTACCATTACTAATGAAACATGATATATAATACTTGAGAAGAAATCATTAGAACAGCCTCTTAACAACAGGAAAACATCTGAACAATTACTTTAAAGAAAAAAAAATCTAATTTTAACAGATATTAGAACTGAAATTAAATTTYCTTAATTAATAACATTCTCCAGCCCTCTAAAGAGGAAATATTGAATCATAGAATTGGAAAGCAGGAAGAGATATTCAAGAAAAATCTTCTCATACTAGAGATGGGAAAACTGAGGTCCAGAGAAGGTAAGTATCTTAACCCCATGCCTCACAAGTACTGCCTGCCAGCACTTCTCTCAGCCTGGCACTGTCTCCTCTATACCACACTGAACTGACAATCACTACATTTACATTATAAATAACAAAATAAAATTTCATAGCAAGGATTTGTCATTTTCTTTAATGCTTCATGGCCACTTCATGTGCTTTTTTGAAAACATACATTGAAGTGCAAAAATCTGACAAAATTTTTCTTTCCCAATGACAACAGAAGTCATTTTTGACTGGTCCCCAACAGAAGAATATAGACAAACTTTTTAAATTAATAAAAATTTAGGCAAATCAAGGCTCAATAATATTTTCAAAGAAACTTTAGAGGAGAATCTAAGGTAATGGTTCTTATCTTTTTTTTTTTAACTAAAAAATTCTGAAAAATGAAATAAAGGCAGTACCTCAGAAAAAAAAAAAAAAACAATGAACATGCAGACAAATTTTCCCAACAGTGAGAAACTTCTGAAGACCATTCATGAAATGCAAGAATCTCTAAATGAAAGATTACCAAAAGAGYTAGCATTTTTTATTTAAAACTATAATGGGGATGGGTTGTAGCTCAGTGGTCGTGTACTTGCCTAGCATGTGTGAGGTACGGGGTTCAATTCTTAGCACTGCATATAAATAAAATAAAGGTCCACTGACAACTAAAAAATTATTTTAAAAAAATAAAGATATTGTGTCCATCTACATCTAAAAATATTTTTTTTAAAAAAATGCTATATGTGGACAACAAAAGTAATTCTAAAGCTATTTTTAGTTGTCCATTTACTTCTTGTAAAACTTTCCTCAACTGAGTTGAGAACATCCAATGAGAAAAAGGTTAACATGATCAGATATGACTTATAAAATCCTTAAGTCCCAGTTCTACTCTTTCCTTGGTCATACTTTCCTTATTATCTGAGGTATAAACTTTCCTTATTATCTGAGGTATAATCTCCTCTTGTTTCTTCCTCCTTCATATGTTCCTAGACCCTTGGGGACAAAGGGAATTCCCCTTATTTTGCATCTTAATGCTAAGAACTTTGATTCCTTGGATCTGAGTTTAATTTTCACAATGTTTAATGGAACAGACATATAATGAAATTAATTCATTATCATACTTCATTATACATATAAGACATAATAAAAAGCACACTGAAAATTCCTCCTTCAGCTAAAGCTTGTGGTCAGTAATCAATGTTTTTCAATTCTAWTTTGTAGGTAACAGTGAACACAATATATTATGTAATGAAGCAAAAAAAAAAAATAACTTCTATAAACCTGAGAAGAAGCCTGCTTACCATCCTGCAGAGGAGAGAATTCTGAGTTGCTTTTCTGCCTGGGTGGTGTTAACAACACAGCTGGCTCAAAAATACGTGCTGGAAAACTGGTGGTCAGATTCACGCTATCAGGGGGGGTTSGCACCTGAGACAGTTTAACAGGCAACTCTTCCTGTGGGAAATCAACCACTTCTTCCCCTCTGAACATCAATGGCACAGAGACATTAGCACTTACAACAGGACYCTCTAAAGAAGACAAGAAGATATTAATATGTAAGGAAAGTATGAGCACACCTCAGGTGTTAATTTTTACACACATATAAATAGAATACAAAATTCATTCAGCCCCTAGAGCCTTCACTTCCTAGGCTATATTCTCCTTTGCCAGCAATTCATAGGCAGCCTCCTGTGGAGCCGGCACTGGGAAGAAGTTGCTATTTTTGAGAAAAGTACAAAGCGCCACAAAGTCATAAAAAGAAAGTCACTTTTTAGGAACTCATAAGAAAAATCTTACTTGGCATTTTAGAGTTTTTCCATGATTTGTTTTTATAGTTTTCTAATGGTCCTAGAAGTAACAAAATGACAAGAATGGGACTGTCCATATACAAGGCTCACTACCAAACAAGGTAATTTCACAAGTCATGTACTATCACATTCAATATTATTTTAAAAGTGTTATAAGAGCTGAGACTCASATGCTAATAACCTTGTTTCACATACATAAATCTTACTTTTTCCACAGACAATAAAAAGAATTAACAATAATCTTATAATAAACTCACACTCCACCTTTCTCATCTCTGGATAACAAAAGTTTTCTCACTAGTGAAATGACTCAGATAATAGCAAAGCACATATCTTTGACTGAGATATYAATAGAAAACCCCCACAAAAATAGATACTTCATGCAACTCAAATTKTAGGCTGCCACTACTTAGAATCCATCCTAAGAAAATACTTCTAAATACATAAAACACTCTACACATGGACACTCATCAAAGTATTGCTTACAAATGAAAAGTGAAAAAGCCTAAATGTCTTATTCAGCCTATTAACACATGAAGGCACACAGGTGAAGAGAGGATTTTGAAACATTACCACATCTGAACAAAAGTTATGAATTTCTAAAACTCAGGGGTGTTTTGTTTTCAATACTATCTCTTCTGAATCTGGGACACCATGATTAAAACTTAACACTAACATCTCACCTGGCCTAGGTATTCAGTTCTCCCATGTCCTACCTGCATGACTGCTAAGTTACTGACTCTCTCTAAGCCTCAGTTTCCTCATTTAAAAATGGGATAACAAAACAGGTGCTTCATATGGCTATTATGAGRATTAAATGARATAATACATGTAAGACTCAGAAAGTACCTGGAAAATAGAAAGTATTCAATAAATATCAGCAGTGGCAATTGCAATAGTGATAATTCAGTATATGCCATAAGTAGCTAATAACTCCATACAAGTTTAGAGGTTCAGGATTTGATTTGTTTGCTTGTTATTCTAAAGGCATTTAGCAGTTCACCGACAATCTGGAATAAAAACGACTATACCTACTTGGATTGTCTATAATTCTACCTGTGGCTTCCCTTTCTGTTGCTTGACTTTCTTGTCTGGAGTTATTTATCACAGGACAATTCTTAATGGCATGTGTGAGTGATATAAGTTGCTCATCTGTTGTGACCATATATTGCTGAAGTCTTGCCTGGAGAAGGGAAGAAATGAAATAAAATCATCAGCATAAAAAACATCAAATCATCACTAGAAATAAAGTCATATAAAGGATATGAATGTGTGCATAACATCATTATTTTATTTTAAATACTCCAAGAATTCCAGACTTTCATTAAAACTCTAAAGAAATGCTATTCATAAGTATAAATATTCTAAAAGTCCCATGAAAGATAAACTGTTAAATAAATCATGGCCAATTAATATCCTGCTATAAAAATAAGAATTAACCTTTTTTATAAGGCTTTCAWTTACAAAACCTCTTCATATAATATTATTTCAACTGACTCTCAAGCTACCCCAAGAGACTGATACATTAGGTAGAGGAAACAATAAAATATTCCTCAAGCATTTAAACTAGCAAACATAAACACTATAAAGATTTATGGTATGCAACCTGTATACTCAGAAAAMTGAGATATTATATCCCATCTGATTCAAATGTATGATATGTCAAGGTCATTGTACTGTCATGTGTAACTAATTAAAACAAATACAAAAATAAAAAATAATAAAAAAATTAAAGTATTTGAAACAARGTGGTTGAAGAGACCAACCAAGGAAATTTTCACCTACCTTGTTTTGATTCAGGCTACTTCATGCAATCCAAATGCAAAACACTGTCTTGAAATATAACTCATTTGCACTAAAATAACTGTGAAAGTAGATGAATTTTGTTTTGCTTTCTTAATTACTTATTTCAACTTAGTCCARARGAAACTACCCTGATTGGAAACCTATCTATAAATATCTATTAAACATGTTTCATTTAATGTGAAATGTGAAAAAAAATTTATGGTAATGTATATGAAATAATGGTGAAGGAACAAGAAAAAGCATAAAATTCCATGTTCAATGATTATAACTTTACACTTTACATGTGTCTGAATTATTTTTTATATATGTACACACATATGTATTCTCATATTTGTCTATGTATACATAATTCATAAATTTTTAGAAAATTATATAAGGCTTTCTTTTACTTAAAGGATCATTCACAAAATACCTCACTGCTGATTTACTCTATATCAAACAGCTGGATGTATTTGGATTTCCATTCTTATATTTAAAAGTCAACTAGATTGCCCCAAAATTTAGATGAACTTGTTGTTCTTATCTTTTCCACATTTAAGATCAAAGTAGTCAATAAAAAGTACCAGGTTTAATTACAACCACATAATGCAGGTCTTTCTTAAGCTAAGTACTTAGCAAATACTTCTTAGCAGAAGAAAAGATGGCAGGTAGAAGGAAAGAAAGGAAAGTTGTATAAATTGCTCAGACCTTGCAAARATTAAGTAAGAGAAACCAAGGATGATATGTAGTGATAAACTATCTAAGTATATAAATGTCTCACATAGGCTTACAGATATACATTGTTGATCCAGACATATTAGAAATATTATGATACAGTAGAATGATATAACTGGGGAAAGCATGCTACACATTTTTATATCATCAGCTGATATTTCTTCCCAAATTTCACACTCATATATGTAGTGGCTTCAACATCTCCACCTAAGACTCAAATAGACAAACCTAAGACACAAAACCAAATTCTTCCTGAAGCCTTCATTACCTTGTAAGTAGAAACTGTTAATTGTTTGGTCCCAAACTCTGGAATCACCCTTGACTCTTTCACATCCTCTTCTTCACCCCATATCTATAATGGGTTTGGCTGGTTTTCAAAAATATATTCAGAATTTGATCAATTTYACACCCTCTGCCACTTCTACTATAGACCAAACTGCCATGTTTCAACTGAATTATTCCAATAACTCCTATATGTAATGTCCTGCTTCAGGGTTTGACTACCTAGTCTAGACCTGTTCCCAAATTGTATATAGAGATATTGAGAGCACAAGAATGAACTCACAGGTCCCCAGAGGACATTTTAAATTTTCAAGAGAAATAGTGAAGTCCAACATTTATCAGACATTGGAGACCACAGATCCCACTGCTACAAAATGTCTGGATTAAATCCATAGAGACAGAAAGTAGACTAGTGACTGCCAGGGGTTAGAGAAAGAGGCGAATCTAGCATGACTCCTCATGRGCATATGGTTCCTCTTCAGGAAGATGAAAATATTCTGGATTGAAATGAKAGTGCTGGTACACAAGTCTTTAAAAGGGTGGACTTAATGGTATGCAGACTACATTATCAATTTTTTTTAATTACACATTTTACATCTAGTGTTCATTGACACAAACAGAATTTGTCTATTATTCTTTTCTAATCTCTTGTAGCTGATAAATAATAAATACCCATAAGAACAAAAAGATGACCAAAATAGCCTCTACATTCATGTAGCACMAAGTGATAATATAAAAATACACATAACCATAACATAATGTAGTAAATGCAATGATAGCAATATCCAGAGAGCATCAAAAATATATAAAGGAAGTACTTAATGCAGTATCCAAGCAATAAAAGAGATATTGTATGCCTTAAAAAAAAAAAAAGGCCTTGGCATTTAGTCAAGTGGCAAATCAAATATGAAGACACTTGTTAACTGTAAATAGTACCTGAAGCAATTTCCAGGAAAGTTCTGCAACAGCTATCCTCTGCTGTTTTGAAATTAAAAGTGGCAACCATAACAYTCATACTTTAGCTATCAAAACATTGCACATTTTGGTTAACCACTATAATACCAGCAGTTATCATTTCAATATATATTYTGTCTTTTACCCTAAATAGTATGTGTATTTAGTAAGCACACTTATTTTATATTCTTATTCTATATACAATTTGTAATCTAAACTTCTACTATAGTACCGTCAATATAATAAATGTTCAATAACACCAACCATTAGTGATGGTAATATGTCAAAAAAAATCACATCAGCACAGCTAAAACAAAATCAACTCCCCTAAGAGAATCCTGCACATGTGCAAAGACATTTCATACTACAAAACATGGAAAAGTCTGGGATAGCATTTGAGTACCTGTGTGGCAGTATTTTCTTCTCTCAGAAGAAGAATTTCAGCTGTTAGAGCATCAATGAGCTCTCGATGATCACCTAATACATGTTCCAGTTGCTTCCTTGTCTCTACTTCTTTACGTAGTTGAAGCTCACTCTACCAAAAAAAAAAAAATCAAAACTAGCATCATATATTGAAAACTAAAAGTTTCTACTCAAAGTGTCAAAGAAGACAATTACAAATATTTACATATTATAAGATAGTAATAAAAATTTAAAAATTGTATTACAAAGTTTATTATATTTAATTGAATAAAACAAGCTGCTTTATCCTCRTCTTTTTAAGATAGAATATAATAAACAAAATGGTATGTAACATTAAATAATTATATTTTTGTGAAAGAAACTGAAGGGATATACATATACATATTGTTTGAATATACATAGACTATCTCTAGAARGGCACACTGGTATCTAGTAATGATAGCGGGACACAAGAAAGCAAATAGGTTAGCTGGAAGTTAGAGATAARAACTAGAGTATTCATTTTATATCCTCTGTATCTTTGAATTTCACACCATATGACAAGTCATCAATTCAAAAATTAAGTTTGCTAAACTATAATTAAAAACAAATAACATTAAACTCTCTTAAATACATCCATTAAATGGTTTATCTTTGTAAAGTAAGTGATTAGCTAAAAAGGATATTCTTCTAAGCCTGCWATACTTTCCAAGCACCAGAAGTACATTCCTGAAGACTCCTGACTTAAGRGTAAAAGAATGTTAACACTTTACTTAAAGTCTGAGAGTACCACAAATTTTTCATTAAAAGGCAATCTTAGCAAAACAGCTCCAGAGCAATTGAAACATCGAATTAAGAGTAATAAATTTTAYTTTTTAAATAAAATTTCCTTAAACATTTTGTCATATTTGTTTAATAGATTTATGAATGTTAAGTTTAAATAGATTTTATAAAAGATGAAAATGCATAGCCAATTCTAATTCTGTGGCATTCTGAATACTGATGAGTATTTATAAACAAAAAATTCTTGCTTGTTTTATAAATTATTTTCACAATAAAACATCTGCCAYTTAAAAACTCAAGCCATACTGAGTTACCAATCATACAAAAAACATGAGACATTTTCCCACCTATCTAATCTACATACAGAACTCCAAACTGAACTAACGTGGGTATAGCAAGCAGAGAAAGGCAAGAGAATGAAGACCCAGTTAATAGTGCTATTTAATCTATAGCTGCCAAACAGAATCTATGCTGTTTGGCAGCTATAGACTATTAATAATCTCAATATCAGCACAAGATATCAAGATATAATTCTATTTACATCAGATTTCCCTTACTAATTAAAATTTGTTAAAGCTCATATTTGCATCAAATAGACTATTTTAGGAAGTATCATCTAAATAGTAGGGGTAGATTAAAACCAAATTACTGCAGATAGTCTAAAACTGAATTTTCAAATAAAAGTTATTTGAATTTGACTGAATTTTATTTGAAAGTTACAATAAACTAAGAAAAAAAATTCACATATATTTCTGCTTGAAGAGAAGCCATGTCATGCCCTTACCTCTCTCAGGTACCGAATCAGGCGACAAAGAGAGCTCACCAGAGACAAAGTGAAGCCTGTGAGACCCTGACCCCTCTGCAGTCCCTTGACCTCACGTCCTGTCCACCTCTCATATTCTTCCATTTCATGTTCCACTTCATGTATCATATGTTTGAGGACATCCAAGCTGGAATTATTGCTGTTTGATAAGTCTGCAGAGGTAGTGCTAGCTGATAACATGTTTTTCTTCTGCTTGGAAGGAGCACGCAAATCTGGTTTTCTTTTCACTGAGAATGACAGAAATAAYTGTATTTCAAGACAAGGAAAAATTACAATCACAAAATTACAAGAAAAATATTTTAATTATTCACAATATATAAAAAGTTTTTACATAAGTTATTACCATTTTTATTATAAAAATAAATTCAATTTAAACAAGGTTTACACTATAATGAATATACTGGAATCATCCATCAGAATTTTGAGGATAAGGATTTCTTAGCTAAGCTCCAACAAACTCTTACTTAATTAGATCCCAATAGATGAGCTTAAGGGGGCAAAAATTTAGTAAGAGATTAAACAGCTATATCAGATTACATGTTTAGAAATCATTTTTGCAAATTAAAAAGAAACTTAACCTTTATTTAGCAGTTGTTTTTGCTTCCTTGAGTTGAGCACCTGTCCTACAACATAGCTTGAGTCTAGAGTCTCAGTAGATTCTTCAGGCTGAAGCCTGGTTTGGAGTTTCTTGACAGCATCAGTAGTATTCAGAGCAGCTAAAAGGAAGAACAATGAAAAAAGGTTATCTCAAGAGAACAAACTTTCTCTGAAAAGTCTTTTAAATGACAGATCCATTAGTATTTTAAATAATTAGGTTACATAAGGAAGTCAAAAGTTAAACAACATTCCTTTGAAAATGACTATTTTTTGCTGTGTGTTGTGGTGCATGCCTTTAATTCCGGCTACCCAGGAGGCTGAAGAGGRAGGATCACAAGTTCGAAGCCAGCCTCAGTAACTTAGCAAGGCCCTAAACAACTTAGTGAGAGACTGTCTAAAAATAAAATGAAAAATAAAAAGGTCTGGGAATGTAGCTCAGTGGTAAAGTGCTTCTGAGTTCAATCCCTAATACCTAAATAAATAAATAAATAAATTACTGTATTCAAGAAAAAAACTAATCAAGTAGGCTACTAGGAATAATACAAAGACAAACCTCTTTGTTCCCCTGATGAAACAGCAGATGGAGTTCTTGGAGGGGTTGTTATTTTTGACTGTGTTGCTATTTTCTGCTGAATATTAGTCCACAGTTTACTAATTAACTCAGAATTCTCTTCCGTTAGTTGGTGGAGAAACCTAYAAATTTCAAGACAATACATATAGTAATGTTAAAAAGTACTATCATTAAAACTGTCCAAATGTTTACATATTTGATTTGAAAGATTTTTAGAAATCACAAAGAAAAACTAACTTTTTCTTTAACTGATAAAATAGGTAGATAGCTAAAATATTTATCCTCTTTGTGTTAGAGGGAATCATCCCATCTGCTTCTCAGTTTCCTATCTACCTTGGGTCCCTAATATAGAAGCATTTGCCCCTTCTGCAGTTTTGTGGTATGGCTCCATCTTCCCCTTTCTCTAAAATAATTAAGTGTATACAGCTCAACTCCTTTTGGTTTCTCTCTCCTACAAAAGAATCTGCCCACTGAGCAGACAGCCACTGCTCGTACTGAAGTAAATTMATTGGAGCAGAACAGGACCCTATGTATCAGGCAGGGAACAGAAGTAAAAAGAAAAGCTGTAGTTTAGGGCTTAGTATTTGCAAGCTCTTTCATTACAGATCTAAGCTTTAYGCTATAAACATCTTTATACTGATTAAGTTGATATTTTAATATTTGACTAGTCTGATTCATGTATCTATTTTCTTGCTTGGATTGATATTTAAAAGAGGTAGGGAGCCAAAAAGTAGAAACAACTCAAGGTCCACCAGCTGATGAATGGATGAGTAAAATATGGTRTAGTCATACAATAAAATATTATTCAGCCTTTAAAAGGAATGAAGTATTGATATATGCTATAACATGGATGAACCTTGAAAATAAAGTGCTAAGTGAAAGACACCAGACAAAACAGAGCATAATGCATTATATATATATATATATACACACACACACACACACACAAATAATATTAAATACATAAATATGAGATAGAATACATAAATATTTGTAAAAATATATATAAAAACATACACAGATAGACAAATTCTATAGATAGAAAGTAGATTAGTGGTTATCTAGGCCCAAAAGGTTTGGGAGGATATGGGGTTTGACAACTAAAGAGCATGGGATTTCTTTTTGAGGCAATAAAACTTCCTAAAACGGTTAGTGATTGTATAGCTATGAATATGCTAAAAAGATTGAATATTACATTTTTAATGAGCATGCTATACACCTATGAATTATAAATCAATAAAGCTGTTGAAAGAAAAATGGAAGGGAGGGAGGAAAAGGGAATCTTATTTAGTGGCTCTAAAACCTTAGCCTAGAGGAGTTGCTTTCAAGCAACATATGGGTGGCACATTAGTACACTATTTGCTAAAAGCTATATTTAGCAAAATGTCCATGATACAGTTTATTCAAAGGGGACTAATTAACAAAGCAGCAGAAAAAATAAATCCAAYCTTCCGGATAAATCTCAAGAAGTACTATAATAAGATTTCTACACAATTTGGGCAAATAAACTCCAACCAGTCTGACACCTATATTACTATCTCTAATGTTTATGATATTTTTAAGAGTCAGTTATGTGAAATAATCATAACAACAAAAATACAATATCATCTACAGTTGGCTAATAAATGGGCCACCAATGTAGGTTCTCTATTCACATTCTTGATTGTTTATTTTGTTGCGAAGAAGCTTTTTAGTTTGATGCCATCCCATTTATT